GGTTCAGCATGTCGTTGTATGTGCTCAATAGTTGCTCCCTTTTTCTGCTCAGTCGACTGCAGGCTGCAAGTCGTCTTTGCAAAGTATGAAGCAGTTTTGTATTTTCAATACATTTTCTCAAAGTATCGTTGGCGTCTTGACAGAGTTTTATTTGCTTTATTACCCAATTAATTACCACAGTTATGAGCAAATGCTGATTATGCTGTTTCTCCATGTTGCAGAGCAAATTTATTTCATTGGATTATCCACCAGTAGAGAACACGGGTCTTCATCCTGTGTTTACGTTCTAGTTCCCCTCCCCAGACTCCTTTAACCAATGAGCGAAGGGAATGTTCTCACATGATTTGTAGTGGGGCATTTTGGTTTGCTTGGAGTTGGTGGAGACCAAAGCAGAGCTCGAAGAGAATAATGAGTCATTAGGTGGACAGTAATATGCTGGATGTGTCAATAGGAAACAGTTTGCTAACATGATTTCTACTTTATAAGGTGATAATATGTTAATGTTGCACTTCCCCCAAGTGCTCAACAAATCTGCTAATTAAGATTTAAACCTGACACTATCTGATAAAAGAAATAGTAACCAAGAATAAAAATCTAATCAAGCATTTTATCCAAGCTCCAACTCTGAAAACGTGATAGTTAAAGGACTGCAGTGCAGTACCCACACAAACATAACACACACAGACATGCTTTGGAATCACTTTAAAGGTGAAATCCTTGACTATTTACCTCCAACTGACACGTTTCATGCTTTCTCAATCAATTGAGAAACTCCTGCCAGTCAGGGATTTATGAAACTGTTTTCGTGTCTCGATTGGACAGACTCTTAATTCTAAGATCAAGCCTGTGCTTTTTTAGTTCCTGAAGAGTTGACAGTTCAGAGACACAAGTTTGTTTGTGATGAAAGCCTTTGGCATTGATACACTCACGCAAAGCTTTCCAGCAAGCAAAAATGCAATGATTCTTGCCAAGATGGCAGCGCTCACTACTGTCAGATAGTAGGCTGGACCTACACGGGAGAGACTCAGGCTGACATGTTGGCCAATGGTGGGTTGTTTTTTTTTTATTGCTTTTCTGGACTTCACATGCTTCATCCAGAGTTTCCATTCTAGTAGAGTGATAAAGTGTTGCAAGTTTTAGGAATTCTTAGAGAGATGTTGAGGTGTCAGCTGCTGAATTTCTTCATTGTAAACAAGTACATCACTGCCAAGCAAATTTTAGGCCATAAAATGTTTGTCTAACAGTGACTGCTGCTACTGTAAAGCTGCAGGCAGGCTAGTGAGATCAAGAGGTCTATATGAAGAACTAGGAGGAGGAGGAAAGAGTGAAATGTACGTTGTTGTACTTCGCAGAGGGAATCCATTATCTGGTGTAACACCAGTACTTTATGGACTTTCTCCTGCTGTTTTATCTTCACGACTTTGTTACCTTATAAGTCTTATTAGTATGACCTGACTAATACCGGGTTGTTGTGAGGCTGATACTAATATTACATTTCAGAGTTAGAATCCTTAAGAGGCAGCTACACCTGTGCTATGTGGTTTAATAGTGCAGCGAACACTCCTCGAGTAGCTACCGTCACAACAGCTGTACCCGTTTACAGCACAGCCAAACAAACTTGTGTTGTTTTATTAAAGACACCAGTCAATAATAAACCTGACTGCTTCCAGAAAATGCTGACCAGCTTTAATGTGAAGCAGCAGCAGCAGCCGAATTTCTAGGTTGTGGCTCGGGTTAAGAGGGTGAACAGTAAACAGTGAGGCTATTATGATTGGAATAAAATTATAAATGGTAATGTTGGATTAGTTGCTACATTGTTTCCTATGATTCCCTTGAGGGCAGTTAGGTCATTTGAATACAGTGCAGGAATGGCGTAGTCCGCCACCAACACTGAAAACTGGGGTAGCTGCTAAGTGTACGTGCACCAAGTGGCTGTTACTTAAATACAGACCATAAATAGTATCAAAAGCAGGGTTCAATTTCAATCTTACAGGTTTAAAGCTTAAAGGCGCATGTTCATTTTGTAGTATAAACATTTTTGTTATTTTTTCTTGGCTGTGCACCCGTCATTTCCCTTGCTCTTTCACCCAGTCTTTACCTCAAGTTGTTTGGCTTCTTATCAGATTTTGTCCACCAAACCCCCCCACACACACTAACTGACTCCGTCTCTCTTCTTTTTCTCTCTTTCCATTCCCTCTGTTGGCCTCTGCTGGCGAATTGCCATACATTTTCCCATAAGTGGTCCCCCTCTGATTCCGCGCACACACACACACACACAGTTGCAGTCCACAAAACCTCCTCAGCTCCATACGCTCCTTATCACATCTTTGATCTGCACAGGGGTGTTATGACAGTTTATTTTTCCCTGTGGCACGAGCGAGAGAAGTGCACTGTTAGTCTATTCCTGGCTTTGTTTTGATAGGAGTGCTAAACTTGCCGTTTCACTCCCCGAGTAGATTCATGATACTGGATGGATGTGGGAAGCACAGACCTCTGTGCCGGCCAGCTGTGCAGTTCTGGAGGAAGAAGTTAGTTTTCATGCACACGTGCGTTTGTGTCTGTGTCCTTATTTGCCTGTGTGTGTCTCCGAGTGTTTCTACTCATTGCCGACCTCACTTTCTCCTGGTTAAAAGTTATGCATTCTGGGGTTTTACCATTATTGTAAACATGATACTGTATATGTTATATGATATACTGATGTAATGTATTATGCAAGTTTGCTTATTAAAAGATTATCAAAGTATTATCAAGCATGCCTGGACTTGTTTTGTTCGAGTGATACCATGCTTACCTTGATGTGGAGAATATTGGTGATTCCTTGGCTGAATTATCATGAGCAAACAAAGCCAGGATGAAGATTGACAAGCACGTCAGCAGCAGTAGAAATACTCTTGTGCTTCTCAAAATTTAGGCCCCATGTTCCCCAAACAAAGTTGCTTTACTTACTCCCCTTTTTCAGCTTCACTGCAATATATTTCTGCTGTTCTTTAGTTATAATGGATAAACACTTTGGAAATCTGTTGGTAATACATTTTTCTTTCTGTAGCATGTTGGTTTAAATCAAGTTTCACCTGGATTTTATGTCCCTGATCAGCCAAGAGTCACATTTCCAACAGGTTAATTTGACTCTGCTGAGACATTATGCAGATTTTCCCCAGAGGCTCACTCACTCACTGTTGTTAGTTGGAAAATTCAGCAAGGAGCACAAGATTGTCATTTGCAGCGATGCATCATTGTCTCAGAATTGATGTGATAATTGTTAATTGATGTTTTGAATGCTAGGCATACTGCATCTTTTAAATATGATTGACATGAAACAAAAAATCTTTCCATCTGCTTGGATTACTTAGAAACAGAGAGGTGCCTAACAAGGAGATCTGCGTTTGTAGTCGAGCTTCAGTGCTCTTATATTTTGTACATCATCAAACGTCCTGATGTAAAGGGAAAGTTTATTCCAGAAAAGGTGTTGAACAGATTGAATTGTGACCCTGCTGCTCCAGTCAATGCCCACAGATTTCCAAAACAATCTCAGAAAATTTTCAAAATGTATGTATTTGCATTTATGTATTCCTGTGTGTGTGTGTGTGTGTGTGTGTGTGTGCGTGTGTAAGAACAATAAGTGTTTCAAAAAGTCATAGAGAATCTGCAGTTTATGTCTCCATCTGCCCCCACAGTGCTGAACGGGCCTCCCATGTCTGTAAAGAAGGAACGAGAAGCAGAGCTGTTAGTGAACCGGCGGGAGCAGCGTAGCGGAGAGGTCATCTGTATCGACGACTAGACTACACACACATACATGCACACTCGCATGCACACTGAAACCCATCTGCTGCAAACTTATCTTCAGTTTCTCTCCAAGAAAAAGTTGAGTCTCGACAGTAAATGCAATGCAAATGGCAGCGTCGAACCACACGTCCGCTGTCTGACTGACTGAGAGTGAAGTTAACGACTCGCCAGTGATTGTATTCACTTCATTTGACACAAAAACACACTTCCACCTGTACACAAGAGACTTCTAAAACTTTACTCTGCTGACTGGTACTCCCAAGAACAATGACGCGCTCATACAGTGCATACACACTCATGCACATGTGCACTCACTGTCCACAGACACACACACCCCTATAGTACACACACTCCATATTGTCTCATTACTTTTTGTGACCTTTTCTTGTCTGCCTCAAACCATTATACTCCTCGTAAATGGCCTCCTCAGACGGGCCTCCTCCTCCTCTAGGGATGCTTCTAACCTCACCTACAAATACACACACTTACACACACACACACAATGCACCTCAATCTTAAAACCTTTAGATCTGTCAATAGACCATGTAACCTTCCTCCTTCTCCCCTGCTCCTTAAATTCTGCACAGGAAGCTGCATGTGAAACTGAAATCATTTCTACCATCGCACTCCATCCCCTGAAGCATGCTCTGATCACAATAATGCTGTCTCGTGGAAAGGAAAAAAATCGTATCAAGCTGTGCCTACGGTCATTTTAATACTGTTTCTTATTCTGTGAGAGAGGCTGAAACTCCAATTTCTCTGTCTGAGCAGCTCCAAGCACAGCTCCAGGTTTATTTGGTTTTTTTTTTTTTTTTTATGGTACACGTTCAGATACAACACATGCAACAAGGTATGATAATGACCATTATATTCATAGCTTGTTTGACCATGTCAAGTATTTACAAACATCCCACTTCCCTGATTCTAGATTATGTACAGAACTTCGAGGTATTTTGGGGGTCCAGAAAAGGCCTCATGATGACACTATTTTCCAGAAGCCTCTTATGAATGTTTATAACCTTTCATAAGCAAGTCAGTATTATTAAAATCCATCAGTCTCCCTCAACAGTCCTCTAGATACCCTCCTTCCTTTTCCTGTCCCTTCTCTGTCAATTTTTTTTCCTGTTTTTCTTTTCCAAGATTTTATTTCTTTCTACAAAAACTTGATATACTTTGCA